TTCTTGGTAGAGAGAGTGTTGGAGGAAAAAAAATTTAAAAAATATCTTTTTTCCCCTCCCTTTTCCTTTGATATATTGGAAAATAATGTTATTATAAATAGACATGATTTGCTATCAAGGACTATCTATACTTTCATCATTATTCGCAACACAATTTGCAGTAATAAATCAGCAACTGTAGACCATAACCTAAAACATCAGGAGAAAACTCGTAGACATACTTTAGGAGCCCTGATATACTGGCAAAAATTCCTGAAACCTAATTTTACCCTGTGTGAATAGGTACACTTGCTTTGAAGTATTAACATGTAAAACACTTCTCAGATTTGATATACAATGGAATCTGTAAAGGTTAGAAGGCAGTACTCAGGAGACATTTTAATTGTTCACTTGTGCACTTTAGAAAATGCTACCCCATTGTAAAATATATACTGGTTATACCCTTGCAGTTCTAAACTTAAAGGCACCTTGAGGTTCTGGTTTTGGGTCTCTGAGCTCTGCTTGTGAATAGGAAATCTGTGAGGATATATTTGTGTTACTATATAACTACAGCAAATATACAGTCAGGTTTCTCTACTAGCTTTGTATGATCCTCTTTGTACATTATTTTGATTTTTTTTCACCTGTCACAATTCTACGTGGAATAGAAGCATAATGAACCAACTCCACCCAAGCGGGGTATTTCCTGGTAATTAATTAATAGCAGTTAAGGGATTTTAGATTTGCTGTTGGCACTCAACTCAATGAATTGTCAACCATCAGGAAATACCTGCCTGTCCTATCTGCCAAATTACCAATTAAGCATCTAATACCGAAAAGCAAACAAGGGTTTTATGCTATTAGTTTAATCCAGTTCAATAAAATTAATTAATTCAATATTTAACTGCCTAAAATCTGAAAAATAGGTCATTTACATGGTGTACCAGTGGCAATTTTTACTTGTGGAAATCGATTATAAAATAACATAACGCAATATACAAATTAAGTAATAGAAGAGACAGGCAACTGCCTACATATCATGTCCTTATGAAAGCGGTATAACTATTTTGTAAGGATACATATATTAGCCTCATAAATGTTGCTGGATAGCTTCTCGTGGTAATTTTACAGCTAAGTACAAATGCTGGAAAGCCAAAAAATTTAACTGAAAATATTTGTGTATTTTGTCTGTATTTGCTGAATAGGAAGAAAAACATGAAGAAAAGGAGAGAGAAGGAAGAAAGGGGGGAGGAGAAGAGGAATGGGAGACAAGTGTTGAAATGGGTCACATTCTGAGTGATTAAATTCACAAGATCAAATTTTAAAAAATGAAAGCAAAGTGGGGCTGTTCACCTTCCACCTTATAACTCAGAACTCAAATGGCACAGGCAGAACATTTGGGAATTAGGGTAAATACCTCTGTGCATCCCTTAAAGCACATATTTAAATCAAACAGCACTCTTGATTCCTTAGTCTCCTACAGGAGATTCTTATATTCTGCAGTACTTATTAAAAAAAGAAAAAAAACAACAATCCTTCCTGTAGAAATTATTCTATTTTAGAGAAAACACAAAAGCATTAATTAAACCAATAATTTCCTGCATAAATTATTCTATTTTAGATAAAATACAATAGCAGTAATTGTACCAAAAAACCAAAGCACAAGTCCTAATGCAGACAATGAATCAGAGGTGCCCATCAACAGCTTATTTACAATGTTGTAGAGAGAAGGAAACACTCCTGCCTGGCTGGTTTTCAGGAACTCCTTCATTAAAAAAAAAACATTTTTTTTTTAATATTTTTGAACAAAATGTTAAGATCTGACTGGAAATAAATTTGCTTCTTTATTTTTTTGCATAATAAAATACATTTTCCTATTGACTGTTAAGATGAGAAATCAGTCTGTTTATGAGAAGAATAAATAAATCATATTCATACAGCCCACTCAAGGGAAATCGCTCTCAAGTCTCACTGTTGTAAATGTCCAGCCCACTTTTCTTAGGCTTGTATATTTATGTCTTCAGCAAAGACTAAACACAGTTTTAATTCTTCAAAGATTAGACAAGGAGATTTGTTAAACCATGCGCAGGGATTGGGGTAGAAAATACTCTAAACTACTTCTGACGTTATTACTTTTCAGTCTGTTTCACAAATGTGGGACTCAGAAACATATAGCATGAAAAGCATTAGTGCCCATTATTATACAATTAGAAGCAGCCAGAACAAGAACAATAGGAGCTGTTTCCAGCAATGATCAGGAAGGCTTTGTTTGGATTACCCCTTGGTACAGCGGTTACTATTGGGCAGCATCATAACCAGTAGGTGATTACTCATTTTTCAGCTTCCTACAATATCATTTCAAAGAATGAAGCTTTCATCTTTCTAAAACAAATATTATCTCTTGCTTCTGCATAAACTTCACTTACACCAAATCATATGGTTTAAGTAAAATTAAAGGAAGAAGTACATTTTATATGTTCTTTTTTGCAAAATTGAAGAATAAGGTTTATCAAATATGACTTCTCATTAGTTCTCCAACACTTCAAAAAGTGAGACCTCCTGCTAAAAAAATTATAGTTTTATTAGATTGCTGTAATTACTTATAAAAAATCCCCCAACTTTCTAAGCACAAATCATGTGTTCTTTGCATGCTTAATAAGTAGGAGCCTGCATCAGTGCCTAAGGGAGTCAGTGGAAGATCTTGAACTTAATGAACCAATTTTTTTGTTGATGTTGTTAGTCAGGCTCAATAGGTTTTTCAAGTTGCAAAGGAAGCAATGAAGGGTTGACAGAACACACGATTCCCTTTCTTTTAAATAAATTTCATTTTTTTCAGAGATATTTTCAAAAGCCTTTGACAAGGGACATGCTATGTTTCAGCTGAAATAGAAGACAAACTTCACCTTAACTTCAGTAGTCGCATGTTATTATTAACCCAAAGTTCTCTCCAAAATTAATCCTGTAATTTAATATTTGCACTTTAACTATGAGAAAAAGGTTTGTTTTGCTACTGCCATAACAAATTCCTGAGTCAGTGAAACTGAATCTTTTGGGGTCTGCAGGTACTTAACACATGTACTGTAATAAGAGTCAATGTTACATTAAGAAAGTTGATATATACAATATACTAATATTAAACAATTCAGCAGTACTGCCACAAATGTTAAGTCTGACTGCAGCTGCATTTCCTCTTAGAGTGAATCCTCCAAGAAACTTTAAAAACATGTTTCATTCCAAAGTAATTTACCACAGTAAAATGCTTGTCTCAGCACTAGTTATTAGTGTCAGAAAGTTGCACTCATTTTCTTTGTGTTTAGTAACAAGAAGAAACAACGTCGTTCTAGAAAAGAAGTACTACTTTGCAACCACCACATGAAAGTAAAACTACAGTTGATAGAAGTGATATTTTAAATTATGCTGGAGCATGTTTCTAAATTAAATTTCTGCCTTTCAAGTACACCTGAATTAATTTTGGGGGAAAAAAAAACACCCTACCTTATGTAGCAAGTAGCAAGGTTTTATTCAAAGAAATTTTACAAATAGGTACTCTCCTATTCATGTTTTTATGATTCAAACTATTGTTGCCATTAGAAAGTGGAGCTGCACAGAATAAAACAATGCTTGCATCCCTGTACATTGTGACTGCTCTCCTTACACTTCAGTCCCAAGGCTGTTCTGATTTACAGCAGCAGTCAATAGCTCCAAAGAACTGAAACTGCATAAAAAAGGTGTTGAAACACCCTGGAAACTTTCATTCTGCAGATGAAATAGGCAACCAAAAGAAGATACAGAAAGGAAGCACCACTGGCGAAACAAAAGGAGTTTAATTCACCTCTGAGGCATAGATACCAGAAAAAGAGGACATTTAGCCCCAAGAATCCTCCTATTTACGTCAAAGTTACATCTGTTTCTGCATTTAGTATAGGATTTTATAATAAAATACATCAACATCAGAACTGACAGATTTAAATACCTTCTGTAAGGCAACTTATAACCAAATGGAAGCATCTGGGTGAATCCAGATTGCCCATCTTCTTATTTTCTTTTGTCTCTTCCACCCCTAGAAGAGCTGTAAGAACCCAATGCATCCAAGCATCAGACCTCTAAAAGTTATACGTCATTCTAGGCTCCAACACTAAAAATTGTAACCTAAAGACAATGCTTTTATAAGGTTTGTACTGTCTCCACACAGAATGCTCATACCTCAGCCCTCAATCCCTTTCAGGGAGCATTAAATGCATGTTGACATGACAGTGTACAGAAAGTTGAGTATCCAGTCCACCCAGCTCACCAGGACTAAGAAATCTCTGATCCAGAAGCCATGCACCAGCATTAAGGGTAAGCTGAGAAGCAAGGTATGTTAACTCAGGCTCAGTGCCATGCAAATTAGGTTACACAACTCCTGGACAGAAGTGCCTCCCATCACAAATACAGGAGAACAGATCTATAACAACATGTTCTTTATTCTTACATGGGTAGATATACTTCATGTTTTCTCAAAACATAGCATGCAATTTCTACATCTTCTCTTTTTAGCTATGAACCTGATAGGAAGATGGTTTTAGATGAGAAAATGGATTATTAGTCATTCTTTCCCATCGATAAAGGATCACAATTCCTTATAAACTACTTGAGTATCGACTGAAAACTTGCATAGGGAACTTGTGAATAAAACAAATCCAACAATCAAAATAAAGTAGTTATTTAAGGATATCTATATATGTCAAAGCACATGAAAAGGTATATAGGTATATTTTTAATTCAGTTTATTGCTTACAGCATAAATTCAACACATGATCTGATTTGTACAGGACTGCAATAAATGGGTGTGAGTTCAAAGCCTCTACAACTGCATGATTTTTAGAGAGGCAGAAACACAGAGTCGGTATAGAAACAAGCAGCAAAGCAGTGGGAATGAAAACCTGTGAATTAAAGATGGATATTTACACATATCAGTTAATTATCCACTTTTTTATGAAACAGCCACATATGTACCAAATATAAGACATCTGTAAAAAAAGAGTCATTCAATTCATTCAACAAGAATACATAAAGTTGCTAACAGGCTCCAAAAATAGTCTACAGCACTGAGCCAAATATTACATGATAAAAAAAAAAAGAGTAAAAGATACACATACCCATAAACTTTGCACAAAAATGTCTCTGTGTTTCCAGCCTTTTCAGAAGGTAACTTAAAAACACAGTGCCTGATCTTTTGGATTGGCCCGTAAGACTCCAAGGTCACAGAAACAAGCTGCAATTGAAAAGGGTGTAATGAGGAAAGGTCATGAAAAATGAATAGGAACATGACCCAGCACTACACAGCAGAAAGGTACAAAAACAAGTCGGATGGGAAGGCGCCAGCCAGCACACCTTCCTATCTAATCAGCTGTGTCTGATAAAGGAGGAAGTAAGTTAAGGGAGAGAGTCTTCAGCACTTAATCCCCAAGACTCCATTTTCTGCTCTGGTAATGTAGTGTCTTTAGGACTCAGGCCAAGAGAATAACCAAAAGGAAGCTTAGCAGTCACTAATTGTCACCTTCATATTTGTTCATGGATAATAATGACCTGTTTGAACTAGGACAGCAGATGCTGCTTTTCACAAGTTCTTTAGCACTGTCAACACAATGGTATCCATTTCACTCTATGAAGCCTCACAAAAAAAACTGATACACATCTCTACCATGGCAAGACTGTACAGGTGCATTGCAAATACCCGGTCTTGTGCTGACTTTCACATTTCATTTCTCCTTGAGCATCTCAATGATGTTTCAAGCACACTGTTCTGATTCTTCTCTTCTTGTAAGAATTACACAATCACTGCAGATGCTCTCTAGGAGAAATATGTCCAATTCCAAGTGTGAAGAAGTAATATTTCTTCAGATTTCTAAGATGCAACACAATATGAAGAGATTTCACATTTTAGTAACTTAGGAGTTCTGATTCATGAACATAGTTCATACCAGCTAAGAAGGTTATCCAAGATCTTGCCATCCACCATCCAAGAGAGTACATGGGCAACAGAGACCTATGAGAATCAACTGTTCATTTGCCACAGTTTATGGACTAGCACTTAAGGCAAACTAATAAGTAACATATTTGTATGGTTTACTACCATGTGGTTTTATTTTTTGTAACAAGAAAAATTAACTCCTCCACAAAGAAAAGTCAGCAAGTCTTCAACTGAAGAGACCAAGGAATTCCTTGGAAGAGAAATGACGAAACCATTACTTATAAGCTATTTCACCACCCTTTTGCATTTAATTTCTCTTTTAAATTTTCCCTTGTCAGGTACCAAATGCTGGGTTTTGCTATACTTTTCTGAATTATTTTAGAGAGTTTTTACCCTCCTATGCTCAAGAAAATCCATGAAGCTACTCACATACTGTTACACAGGATATTTACTTTTGCCTTCACTGGGCTTTCAGCAGTAAGCATAAATGATGTTCAAAGATGGCAAAGGTCTTCAAGACATTTACTGTATTCTACTAACCATACCATTTATATTTCTCTTATTTCTTATTCCAGTTATAATGGCATAAGCAGCACAATCTAGATAGCCTGCTTATGTTCCGCTGAGAAGCAGCACATATAGAGCACTTTTATTTAAAAAGAAACTGAATAACATCACTGAATTACAGAAAAAGTTTGGGTATTTAATACATTGCTTGTGAAATCCTTGGGTTTTCTGTATAAACCCAGTTTTGATATTAATTATGTCTTTGAATATTGCTTATAAATCTGAACATTTAATTAACTTATTGTGTGCTTTACGGCTGTGCAGTAGTTGTTGAACTAGTTGTGTGCTTTGTGAGAGGTGATTTATGTTTGCAGAAGAAAAGCTGTTTTGTTTCTTGTATGAAGAAGAATAGCTTTCTAATGCTAGAGCAATTAAGCAGAGGATTAAGTAAAATGGCACATAAACTTGAACTGGAAACTATGAGAGAAGGGGAGCAGTGGAAAAACTCCTTTGCATCTGTGTTCTCAACCTTCTCTTCCTGTAATTTTAAAGACATTTATTTTCTAGGCTCCTGTGTGTATCCATGTGGGTGGACCTGAAAAGCATCAATATCCAATTGATACCCATCCTTCACAGTGCTCTCTTGCAAAAGTTGTCTGAATTCAACACCTAAGGTAATTTTACCTGCGTCACTGCAATTTGCTCTGCATCCCATTTGAAAGGCAGAATCACCAGATGGAGGAGGGAGCAGGAAGCTTTTCTAGCTGCACAGACCTCTAGGATCTCTGCCTCAAGATACTAATGGTGACCATCAAAGGAAGAAGGGAGCCTGCAAAGAAATGCATAACTTCTGTTCAAATGGCTCAAACAGCCCTATGCCTATAAGGATTTTCCAAACAAGCATCAGGATTTTTTTGAGAATTCATTCATAAATATGTTTCAGTGCTTTGCTGCATTGATTCTGAACAGCACTCTAGAGCAGAACTGCAACACATTTGAAATAATCGCTTTGGGTTTGATCCAATAATTACTTTAATGAGAAAAGTGAGCTGTCTATATTAAGATATCTTGCTCACACAAGACAAGCTGCTTCACCACAGCTAGAATTCACTGGTCATTACTAATGCTGGTATACAGAAAATGGCAGGTGCCAGCTTTCTAGGTTTATTTAGATTTTAAAGGCTTTAAAGAAAAGTAGCTCTTTCATTTGCATGCAGGCCAAAAATCATGTTCATGGTCATTGATTCAAAAAAGGTCAATTGATTTGTATTTACCTCTTTGCCATCTAAAATAAAAACTGATTGAACATTTCAAATTAAACAGAAAGGATGGACTTAACTGAATATTCCACTAAATTTCAGATTATGTTCACAACCTGGAAAATGTCTCCAGTTGTACCCTGGATAAAAACATTGTGATTACTTCAGCAGTTTTCTCTGTTCTATGTGACTAATCATCATCACCTTATAGTTAAAGGTAAAACATCTGGTTTTGTAAACAACCAACCTAATAGTTTTCCACACTTCAAAATGACTTCAGAGATGCTAAAACTTGCAGCTGGATAAACACAATCCAAGAGTGCAGCATAGGCTGGAATCAACCTGGCTGGGAAGCAGCTCTGTGGAAAGGGATCTGGGGGTCCTGTTGCACTACAAGCTCACTATGAGTGAACAGTGTGCTGCTGCGACAAAGAAAGGTAACAGGATGTTGGTTACATCAACAAGGGAATCCCTAGCCCAGATAAAGAAGTCATTATCCCACTCTACTCAGGGCTTGTCTAGCCACACCTGGAATACTGTGTTTAGTTTTGGTCCCCAGTACACAAAAAAGATGTGACAGGATGGAGAGAAGGGCCATAAAGATGATCAAAGGACTGGGAAGTTGTATGAAGAAAGGCTGAGAGAACTGTGTTTGTTCACTGTCCTGGGTTCAGCAGTAGCAGTCATTTTTATTCCTTCTCCGTAGCTGGTGCAGTGCTGTGTTTTTGACTTTCAGCCTGGGAACAGCACTGATAAACCCAATGTTTTTAGTTGCTGCTCAGTATGTTTACTCTGACCAAGGACTTTCTGAGTCTCATGCTCTGCCAGGGAGGAGGGAAAGTCAGGAGGAAGCAGAGACAGGACACCTGCCCCAAACTAACCAAACAGGTATTCCATACCACAGCACATCATGCCCAGTATATAAACTGGGAGCAGTTACCCAGAAGGGCTCGATCACTGCTCAGTCAGGCTGGGTATCGGTTGGTGGGTGGTGAGCAGTTGTATTCTCTTCCCTTGTTATTTCCCTTATCATTATTATTATTGGTGGTAGCAGTAGTAGCTGTGTGTTATACCTTAGTTACTGGGCTGTTCTTATCTCAATTTGTGGGAGTTACATTCTTTCTATTCTCCTCCCCATCCCTCTGAGATTGGGGGGAGAAGAAGTGGCAGGGGGGGAAGTAAGAGAGTGGCTGAGAGGTTCTGATTTACGGCTGGGCTTAAACCACGACATTCACCCTAAAGAAAAGGACACTCAGGGAGACCTTACCACCATGCTCCAGTATATAAATGGTGGCTACAAAGAAGATGGAGACTCCCTTTTCACAAGGAGTCACAAGGAAATACAAAGGGTAATGAGCACAAGTTACTCCTGGGAAGATTCTGGACAAGAGGAAAATTGTTCACAATGAGAACATTTAACCATTGGAATACTCTCCCAAGGGAAGTGATAGATTCCCCAGTGTTGGACAATTTTAAGCTTTGGCTGGAGAGGGTGCCAGGCCATCTTGTCTAAACTGCTTTGGTCAAAGTTGGACCAGATTATCCTTGAGGTTCCTTCCATCCTGAAATTCTATGATCTATGGTGATAAAACAACAACAATAACAACAACAAAACAAGCAAAAACACTTCAAAAGTTTATAATATGATAAACAGAAAAGCTGTAAACAGAGCTCCCTGTGTAATTAATATATTTCAATACTTTCTCTGGTTTCATAAGTCTCAGTCTGAATTTTGTGAAGACCTGATTTAAAGATTGACCTAAAATATTAAGGCAGTATTCATATATTATTAGGCTGCCTATATTCATACGTTATTAGGCTGCTGATTAGACTAACATTTCTTTCTCTTTCAGCAAACTAGCCTCGCCTTTCACAAAGAGGATTATGATCCGGGAATTAACCTGGAAAGGCTTGCTCACATGTTTTCATTTGTTTCTACAGCCACCTTTCTGTTTCTTCAGCTTCCCAGTCAAGTAAATGCCTTTATGTTCTCTGGACTCTTTCACAACTAGAACAACTCAAAATACTTTGATAGCACCACTTTTTTTCTCCTCTTCATATCATAGGGAAAGGAGGAGCCCTCATACCCTTAAGAACAACAGAAACATTTCATAGAATTGGAAGACGAAATTTCATACGGTAATGACGTGTCTATATACATGATGTTTCAAACCGGACATGAAAGTCTCTACTGTTCTTATTCTGATCCTTATTTGAAACTCAGATGCAAACCTCACAAGAAATAATAGCTTCTTTCTATGAAGAAATGTCCTGGGTTCAGCAATAGCAGTCATTTTTTCTCCTTCTTAGTAGCTGGTGCAGTGCTGTGTGTTTGACTTTCGACCTGGGAACAGCACCGATAACACAGATGTTTTTAGTTACTGCTCAAATGTTTAGTCTGACCAAGGACTTTGTCAGCCTCATGCTCTGCCAGGGAGGAGAGGAAGCCAGGAGGAAGCAGAGACAGGACACCTGACCCAAACTGACCAAAGAGGCATTCCATACCACAGCATGTCATGCCCAGGATGTAACTGAGAGAAGGGCTAGATCTCTGTCTGGGTGGGGCGAGGTATCGGTCAACAGGTGGTGAGTGGTTGTATTCTCTTACCTTGTTATTTTCTTTATCACTATAATTATTGGTGGTAGCAGTAGTGGTTTGTGTTACACCCTAGCTACTGGAATGTTCTTACCTCAACCCATGGGGGTTACATTCTTTCAATTCTCCTCCCCATCCCTCCAGGACTAGGGGGAGGGAAGAAGAGGGGGAGTGAGACTGTGTGGCTGACTGGGTTTAAACCATGACAAGCAAGATTCCTGGAAAGTGAAAATCAAGCAGTGAAAAAAGCCAGCTATAACTTCCACACTTGAAACACATGGCATAAATCAGCCCACATGCTGGAAAGCTAGCCTCTCCATTCCACTTGTGTAAGAAAAGGGACAGACAGCAGAATGAAAACTTGTCATAAACCAGGAAATAAACTTGCTTTCTACCTTTCACTGCATCAAAGGATGGGGTTAACAGTCATCGGAAAATGCAGGGATTGTAAGTGATATGCATCCTCCTCGCCTGAGAAGTTAAGGGTATTACTTGACCAAGGAGGGAAGCCAAACAATTAAGTCATTTTTATATCTGCTGGTTTATTGCACATGAATCCAGACCAAAAGAACAAAGTAGACTGGATTACTAACCAAATGACAGATGCGGGAGAAGCATTTTCATTCTGTTTTCTATTTACTGGACCACCTCTTTCAACAGATTCTGCTTCCCCAGACAAAAGCTGCAGGGAGACACTTTATTCCAAGAATGTTTTCAGAGTTTCATTTTAACTCTTTGTTATTCATAACCAGATTCACTCATACCTACCAATTAACTGTTCTTTAAATTATGGATTGCCCCAAACAAAATACATTTTAAAAATATGTGAATCAGTTTCTTGCATAGTAGATATTTATATTGTTCTACAGACTGCTTCTGAATTCTTTCCTTGATGAACATTTCCTATTTTATAACTGATTGTCAATGTATGAATAGATCTGTTTATTCCAAATGCAGAAGTAATGGCAGCTCTTTGGATCATCTTCAAAAATTGCGTTTATTAACTGGAGTTTCAATGCTTTCAAACAATGCATAACTATAGTATCAATCCCAAATATATGCAATTATATGCAATATCTGGAAAAGAAACAAAAAATACTGACACTTGAGTTAATTTGTGAAAAATTACTAGTAAAAAGTACTCACACTTGATAACCCTTTGCCTGAGCAATTGATCATTGGTCATGAAACATCATGACAAGTTCCAAATAACACAATGCATGTAAGTCACTTTTCTAACAATAATTTGTCACCTGATACTATGGTTTCTGGTTTTGCAGAATTAAGATAAAGAATATGTAATACGCTGCTGACTTTGATGCTATGAAATCCTTGATTATACAAGCAAAGATGCAGCTGGACAATTTGCTTTTCCTATCTTTCAGAACAAACTTAGTAAAAGATTTATTAAATAGCAACAGTTTTGTGAGTCCTTTCTACATTATTTTTTCCACATGCACCTTACTTATCAATCCAAAAGGTAACTTCTTTCTCAGCAAGACTGCATTTGCTGCCGGGGCTTATGTCTCAATCAAAATAACAGCTATACGTAATATCACAATTATTTACTATGCAAATGATTCTGTTCTGACAAACATGATTTAGTGAGGAGACTAAGTATTTTTGTCGAACTAATTACTTCTTTATAAATAGACACTACTTGCATTCAACCAAACATTTAAAAAAGAAGATTAAAACAGAAAACCTAATTTCAACTTCACATCTAACAACATACCTGCTTAGTATTTATCCTGCATCTGACTTTTATCCACAGAGAAGCCATCCCAACTTTCAATGATGTGTAAATGGATTTTCAAAGTTTCTTGAAAGTTGCAACAGCATTTTGCGCATCTGCATCACTAAATATTGAAAGTGTGCATTGGCGAAAAAAAGAATAGTTGCATTTCAGAAATGAAGAGGTTTACCTACCTACAGCAAATTAAAGTGAAACATTAGGGGGGCAGAGCTTTTAAAACCAGCCCCCCACATCATCAGATCTTTTTAAATTTGGATAATAATAACAGTATGCATAAGGAGACTTTTACTTTTTTCTCCTTTTTTCATCTTTGTCTTTTCCACAAATTAAATCAGATTTGGATTCTGAACAGCAACAGGCAAATTTTGAAAACACTTGTTTAAAGAAAAATCAAAATACATATCAAAAGCTCTCCTAAATATACATAGACCCAAGCATAAAGCTTCAGACCAGATAAGCAAATTTCTCTTTTCAAATATCCACTGGTTTGGGTTATTGATCAAGCTGGAAACAGAGTAATTTATTCTACTGGGACCTTTCTTGGGTCCACACAGGGTGATGATCTGTGATTATAAAGTGCTACCGTTCAAATCCTGATAGGATGCTCTTAAACTATCATAAAAGAAAGGTCATCAGGCCTGCAGTCCTGAGGGTCTGTACTGTTCCTTCTTCCTGCCCACTACTCCTTTAATCACATATTTTATGTTCCTCATACACAATTATGTATTGCAGACTGGCACCATATACAACCATGTAATGGGCTTTGATGTCTGTTACTATTAAGGAGCTTTCCTCACAGTAAGAGAAGTTCGTATTGCTTATATATGAGACTTCTGGACTTCTTTCACTGTCAGGATGGCCATGCGCTCTTATCAAATATTTGTAACTACAAAATACAACAGGTATTTTATATTGTATCTTTAATTACCCAGAAAACTAACAGTCAGCATGTCTATCACCTGCAACTAGGAGCCATTTGCATTTTATCATCTCCCATTTCGGTATGATTAATTTACTTTTTTGAAATTCACTTACATTGGAAAAAAAAAACAAACAAAAAACAAACAAAACAAACCTTCTCAGTCACCGGATTGTATATTTGCAAACATGGGGCTTTGCAAACCTGGTCTCATAGTGACATAATTATAATACTGGTTTCATGACTCATTCAGTGATTACATGCTAACTGGCCACTCCTTGTCACTCACTATTTGCCAACACAGTGTTTATCTAAACCACAATGTGCTGTCCAAAAAGCACATGCTGTTAAAAATGCATTTAAATTAAATCATGAAGTTGCTCCTCTCTTTTTTTAACATCCCTATGTAATTTCTGCATGTGTAACATGAATAGTGAAATTGCACATCCTATAAATTGTAAAATCAAAACAGTATTTGGTTTATTTTCACATCTCCATTATATTTGTCGCCAGATTTAAAAGCAAACCATAAAAAAAGTGCCTTCAGATCTGCACTGACTTTGGAGAAAGAAAATTCTTTCTCCAAACACAACTATTGCGATTTAAGCCCAGCCAGTAACTCAGAACCACGCAGCCGCTTGCTTACTCCCCCCTTCTTCTTCTCCCCACTCCTGGAGGGATGGGGAGGAGAATCGAAAGAATGTAACTCCCACGGGTTGACTAAGGTATTACACAAATTATAACACAAACTAAGGCAGAACACAAACCCACTACTTCTACCACCAATGATAACAATGATAATGGAAATAACAAGGGAAGAGAATACAACTGCTCACCACCTGCTGACCGATAACGAGCCTGATCCAAGCAGCAATCGGGTCATCCTAATGCCATCCCTGAAGTTTATTACCACAAAACTGACCACAAAGGGTGAGATGCTCCCTAGAACTGACATAAAGCTACACATACAGATTTCCTGTTGGACTACTGAAGGAGAAGAGAGGATTGAGGGGAGAAAGACACAGACTGATGTGGCCTTTATCTTATCACACCATCCATGCTCTACCAGATTTCCGTCTACTACATTCCCAGTCCCCATAGGAAAGTGAAGTGGGTTTTCTTCACTGCTATCATTTTTTCCGCAAGGTTGTACCACAAAAGTTAGAATGTACATCAGCAATTTAGTACTCTGCCTAGCATTTCTCCCTTCAACAACACTGAGATTACTCAATCTTGAACAACAGAACCACAAAAAAGAAGCCTCAGGCCAAGACCCTTCTCTGAGGTGTTTCAGAACCTTCCTTCTGTGTGAGACCACACAAATCAGCCCCACAACATTCAGACATTACACAGATCTTGAAGCTTTCCAAAATAACTGATTCATGGAAGGAGCACAGAGCAGACATTTCAGAGGTCTTCTAAAAATGATGATAATTTTTATTTAGCTCCTTTTAAGTTTTTAATGAATAAGTGATACTGCTACTGCCCCAATTATAGATAACTGGCTTATCCAAAGGCTTTGGAACTCATCTAAAAGTTTCTTTCTCTATTTCAGACCCTGAAAATTCTGTCAGTATATATGATTTATAAAATTAATCACTGTAATTTTAAATGATTGCTTAAGATCAATGTTCTACCATATGAAGACAAAAGTATTAAATTAAAAAAAAAAAATCAAGTACAAGCCTATTCTCATGACATTTACAGTACAGCTTCACAATCTGAAGATACTTGGAAAGTTCAGATAACAACATAAAGTTCAAATAAACAACAAAGTTGGGTGCTTTTTAGAAATTAAATTCAACTTCCTGTAACTAATAAACCAAAGCCAAGTTGGAGAGAACAGAAAAATAACCATGGAATTAGAGAACAGTTTGGGTTGGAAGTGACCTTAAAAATCACCTAGCTGCAACTGCCCTGCCAAAGGCAGAGACACCTTCCACTACACCCAGTTGCCCAAAGCCCTGCCCAACCTGGTCTTGACCACTTGTTTAAATTGCACTTAAATACTGATTTTTTAATTAATTTATTTTTTTTTTACCATTGTCCCGGTTTCAGGTGTAACAGTTATTTTTCTTCCTAGCAGCTTGCGCAGTGCTGTGTTTTGGTTATTTTGTTATAGCTAAGTAGCACTTTTCAGTTGCTCATGCTCTGCTATAAGGAGGGGCACACAAAGCCAGGAGAGAGCAAAGCCAGGATCCGACCCGAATTAGCCAAGGGGGTATTCCATACCACAGCACATTATGCCCAGTATATAAACTGAGGGGAGTTACCCAGGAGGGACCAATTGCTGTTTGGGTTGGGCTGGGTATCAGTCAATGGGCAGTAAGCAATTGTACTGTGCATCACTTGCGTTTTCTGAGCTTTCATTTCTTTTTCTTTTTTTTTTTCTGTTTCCTATTATCATCATTATTGTTATTCTTTTTATAACCACGATATTTACTTTATTTTAGTTATTAAACTGTTCTCAACTCTACCTGCAGGTTTTACATTCCTTTGATTCTCCTCCCCATCCCATCCATGGAGGGGGAAGGGAGGCAAGTGAGCAGCCATGCGGTGCTAAGTTATCAGCAGGGTTTAAACTATGATGCAATTGAGGCAAATTGCTGCTTGTAAGACCATTTAACTTAAACCAACTTATTAGTTGCATGTAGTTGCCATGCACACAGTTTGATCTACACAGTAGTGTACAACTGCAAAAGTAATGCAACTTTGCTACAAATACACACTGACAGCTACAGAATTGACATTCTTTGACAAAAGATAAGTAGATGATAGACCAACTTCCAGTGTTTTATTTAGGTTTAGTACACTCTACTCAGCAACTGTAAGGGTAGTTGAACACTGTACTAGCTTTGCTCAGAGAGGTTGTTTCCATCCTTCAAAACAAGTCAAAATGGAGATGGGCTCTGGACGAGCTGCTCTAGTTGATGCTGTTTTGAGTAGCATTTAACTGGATGTCGTGGTTTAAACCCTAGCCGGACAGCTTGTTCACTCACTCCCAGTGAGTGATGCCGGGCTGAGAGAAATCGAGGCCCCCCCCCACCGGGGCTCTCCCCTTCCCCGCTCCCGGAGGAACAGGGAGGAGGATCGAAAGAGTGCAACTCCCACGGGTTGAGACAAGAACAGTCCAGCAGCCAATGTACAACACAAATCACCACCGCTACTATCAACTACAACAATGATAAGGGAAAATAACAAGGGAAGAGAATACGATACCACCGGCCAAGAAAACGAGTTCCACCCGGAAGCCCGTGTCCTTCCGGGTAACTCCCAGTTACCCCCCACCCCGGGCACGACGTGCTGTGGTATGGAATACCTCTTTGGCTAGCCTGGGTCAGGCGCCCTGTCTCTGCATCCTCATGGCTTCCCCTCCTCCCTGGCAGAGCATGAGCCTCACAAAGTCCTTGGTCAGGGTAAACATCACTTAGCAACAACCGAAAACATCGGCTTCACCAACAGTGTTCCCAGGCTGGAAGTCAAAACACAGCACTGCACCAGCTACCACGAAGGAGAAACATGACTGCTACTGCTGAACCCAGGACACTGGACAATCTCAACATTTCACTTAGAATTAGAGAGTGGTTGAGGTTCTAAAAGAACTCTCAGAAACCCATTTGGGGGCAAATGAGACTTCTGTGTTTTACTGACTTCTAAAAATTATGTCAAAGAAATAACCTTTTTTTAGTTATTTTATTTTTAATTATTTCCCTTACGTTCTTCTAGAACTAGCACTTCTAGGGACAACTAAAGTTACTGTAGTGAGACCAGCCTTTATATTTGAAATGCATCCTATGATGATACTTTTATCTTCACTTATGACCTTAAAATGAGCCTTACTTGCATTACAGTATAGTATAAAACCAATGGGAGAAAAAAAAAAAAAAGAAGCCGAAAGAAAAAAAGCCGGATGTTAGAAAAAAAACACACACAAAACAAAACAACAAAAAACACACAAGGGAAGTACTTCCTCTTACATTTCTATTTTTAGCACTAAGCTTGACGTGACCTTGAATTTCCCATGATATAATCAGACACAAATATGCACATTTACGGATGGGATTTTACGGATTACTGGGGAGGAGGGATCTCCTGCTTTGTACTCCTCCATTGTACAGAGTAGCTTTGTACTCTGATTATACCATTACAGTATTCAAGACACATTTTTTTAAAAAGTCCTCAAA